TATCCACAGCCCAAGGGTAGCATGGATACACCCTTCATACAAAACATTTTTTGCCCACGCCGATGACTACAAAGGTCTCTTGACCTCGCAAATGCTCTGTCCGACTACTGGAAGAATCTGCAAGTGCCTTTCGAATCAAGTTCGATGCTAAGGAGCATCCCTGTATCGGGAACCCCCAAAGTTATAAAAATAGCAAAGAGCAGACTACTCACTTACCGTTTGCAAGACGTTCATTCAGCAGGCAGTAGTTTCTTAAACATCCTAGAGTTATCAAAATACCAAACTTCTAATCAAAGATACCATAGTTCCATTTAGTCCATTTGGTCCTATGCCTTATCGAAAACCTCAAAATACGGTCCTAGCAAAACATACACAGGACCAAAGGACCAGCTGTTCGCCCAATCTGCTTTTGATCTTCCCTTGAATGGTCCAGGTTGACAACTAACCTGAAAGCTTTCTCAAAGACGATTCAGCAAGGATTCAATGTGTATCTGTTGTAGAATCTAAGGTGGTCGACGGTGTTTTGTGGTACGTAGGCTTGGATGCTGATGTAATACAGGCTATGGCTGAAGTGTGTGAATGTGGACCGCCACTGATCATCCATTTTAATGCTTTCTTTATAGCAACTCGGGTTCACAGATTGCGACTTGAGATGGGTTACCGACTGAAAAGACGACAAATGTCGAATGAAGTCAACCCAATAGTCATCAGAGAGTGCGAACGCTACTTTCGTGCGTCAGCTCTGAGGTTCGACGTCGACGTTTAGCGTAGGTATGTAGGATCGTTGGAGGTGGGGGCGATCTGTGCTTGCCCTACATGATAGCTAATTCAGGCGGAAGGTTCATCAAGGTAACTTGGCCGAGCGGTCTAAGGCGCCAGACTCAAGCTTACTAAGCTTCATCCGTCCAACGGATGAGTATTCTGGTCTCGCAAGAGGCGTGAGTTCGAATCTCACAGTTATCATTTTGCATTTTTGAGCAGTGTCATCAACGTCTTCTAGCAAATCTTATTCTTTTCTTTGTTCTTGTGCGATACAGATCCAGGCATGGGGCGGGGACTATGTGCCCGTGGACTGCTTGTGTTCGTCGCCTTCCAAGCCGTGCACGATGAAGAAGGCGCGCTCATGTACGTCTTGCTCCCTCATACGTACGTAGTCGTCAGCAGCGCTCCTGTGAGTCTGACTTCTCCGTGTTGATGACATGCATCGGAATAGATGCAAACGGAGTTGACGTCGTTTCTCGGGTGACACCAAGCCAGCCAATATCCGAGACGCCTGCACATAATACCCGGCACGAGGAGCGAGATCTGGGCCGAATTGTCTCACTTCCACGCGTGATTTTCGATCCTATCCGCAATGCGTCCTCACGAACGACCTCATTGACGTCAGATTCGCCCTAGAGGCCGACGATCTTGGCGGGAACCGCTAGCCTTGCCCGGCTGGTCTTGTTCAGATCGGGTATCAAGAGGACAGAGTTGGAGACTTAGAAACGAGTAATGATGGCAACACGATGAATCGCTGCATCGCCCTTTCGGCCTGGTTTAAGTTGTGGTATCGGCCCGTCCATGTTCATATGGCCTGCCGATACTTGGTTTCCCACTCCCTCTCTCTCCTCCTGTCGATCCAAAAGGAGAATCATCCCGCAGCAGCTTCATATTCTTGGCAGGACTGAGGGCAACGTAGGCCATGCCTGGAGATATTGAGAGTGATGCCATGGCATCGCAGGCCGACTGCCACTTGAGACATATGCCAAACGCATATGACGATGAGGGGATCGACCCATTGGACCTTGACACACCGAGCAAGGAAGCCTATGAAGCTGAGGAGGAGATCCCGCTTGTGGATCACGACGACGACTTCAATATCGTTGTTCCTCGGGCACATATTCGAGCGCGGCAGTTGCCTGTGTGGCTACGATACACCAGAAACGTCTACCACGCCTTCATACCAAGCTTCCTCAAGGCCTCGGATCCGAACGCTGTCCAGAAACCACTTCACCCCACAGCATGGCTCGGTAAGTTTCTGCCCCAAATCGTCTTCCGGTGTCATGAAAGCAAATGCTGACAAGAAACTCCCCCAATGACAGACGGTCTCCGCGGCGTAGCCGCCTTCTTCGTCGTCTGCCACCACTGGTCCCTCGTCACAGCCAACATGAACATCCACCGCGGCTTCATGAGCGACGATAACCCCATGTTCATCCAGTTGCCCATCATCCGCCTCGTCATCTCCGGCTTCTGGTCCGTCTGCGTCTTCTTTGTCATCTCCGGGTTCGCACTGAGCTATAAGCCCCTGAAGCTCCTCGGCCAGCACAAGACGGCCGAGTTCGCCACTGCCGCCGCATCGTCGGCTTTTAGGCGGCATATTCGCCTATTCCTCCCGCCCGCGGTGACGACGTTTGTGATTGCGTGGATTTCGTATTTCGGCTGGTTCGAGATCCCAACGTCAGGCGTCGCCGTGGCGGCGCTGCGGCCGCCAAAGTTTGATCGCATCTACGACCAGCTCTGGGACTGGGCGATGAACCTCATTGGGCTGTCGGATCCGTTCGGAAGGAACTTGCAGAGGGGCGAGGGGTATCCGTACGAGCCTACGCTCTGGACGATACCGATCGAGTTTGACTGCTCCCTGGTCATCTTCCTCGCGCACGTCGCCTTTTCGAGGTTGCGAACGCGGGTCAGGCTCCTCATGAACGTCTTCCTCGTGGCGTACACCCTCTACTTCAACTACTGGCAGTACTTCCTCTTCCTCGCCGGGCTCCTCCTCGCGAACCTGCACTTCTACTGGCTGCCTGCCTTGGGTAACACCCTACCGTACGCAGCAGCAGCCCCAGGACCACAGGGCCGCTTCGCCAGGTTAAGCTTCTCCCTAATATCGTCCCCAACCTACAGCCTATCCAAAAAGCTCATCGGCACCCTCTCCTTCCTCGGCGCGCTCTGGCTCCTCTCCTACCCAAAGGGCACCGGCACGGCGGGCCTCTCGCCGGGGTACAAGACGCTCGTGGCCATCACACCGGAGCGCTACGGCGAGGGCGAGTATCTCTGGATCCCGCTCGCGTCCGCCTGGCTCGTCTTCTCTGTCGACCGGGCCCCATTTCTGCAGCCGCTGTTTACGAACAAGGTGATTCAGTATCTGGGCCGCATCTCGTACGCGCTGTACCTCGTCCACGGCTCGCTGCTGTGGCTGTACGGCTGGCACCTCGTGCGGTTCTTCACGGGGTTGTCGGGGGCGGAGACGAGCGGGCAGTTTACATTTGGGGTGCTGTTGGCGACGTGTTTCTTCGTGCCTGGCGTGGTGTGCGTGGCGGACTTTACGCAGAGGTATTTGGATGCCAACGCGGTTAAGTTTGCGGCTTGGTTCGAGGGGAAGTTGATTGATAAGGGGAGGTAGAGATGTGTGTTTCACCACCTTCGTTGGAGTGATGTTGCACTTCCATCATTGGGCATGAGGGCCTGTGACGAGGATGGGACATGGTAATAGGAGTTGTTGTAGTTATGCGTGGGTCATGCTGCGAAGTAGCGTCGCATTCCGAGATATAGCCAATCATTTAATATAAGAAATCCAAGCTCTGAGAAGGAGGTTCACGCCTTATAGAAACGTGAAGTCACATCATCATCCCCGTTGACGAGAAATCAAATCCTACCTTCGTCATCAACCACCAGCCCATAAACGAAGAAACAGCAGAAAGATCGAAATGGACTCAATAGGTCCTCCATCATGAAGCCAAGCCGGATCACGTACCTATTTCTTCAATCTCTCGAGTCGCGGCCGAGCTTTGCTCCCCCCACAATGCAAGCAGGTAGCGGGGACTTTTAATATTGCAGACCACCCCTGTTCGATCAGATAACTTTTTTCTCTCTTTTTACATCTGATAATCCCGCCAGTTTGTCGGCCATTCCGCGCGGGTCTATCCTCCCACACTCGCATCCCGGGCTCCTGATTTCAAGGTTATTCCCCTTCCTCTTCCATCCTCTGGGTCTGGGGCGCAAAGTTGCCTCCCTCTCACATGCCTCTGTTCTTCGAAACTAGGACCGACTCGGCCGAGTCTACAGACTAGTTAATAGTTATTAGACGTTATCCACACCTTTTCAGCTGCGAGGCTTTTTTTGGACCTGCATCTCGCACTGCAGACATTCGTTGCCGCGCCGGCCAACAGAACCCACGAGTCCGGGCAGAGATGCTCCATTGGGCCAGGGACCCGATGCAGTACGAAGTAGATCCGTTTTCTTTGACGTCTTGGCGATACTGGAGCTCGCTCTTTTTGTTAAAAAGTACCCCGAGTGGGAAGGAAGATCAGTTGACCCTCTTCCACGTAATGGAGTCAATAAAAAAAAGACCCCTGGGCAAAAACCGCAAAGAGTCCAATGCGGTGATGGGGATTTATAAAGAAACATCCGGTACCAATCTCGCGCGTGCAACGTGGGCTTATCTCCTGGGATGTCTGCCATCGCTCTCTCTTTTTTTAATTGACTTTCCTTCTCCTCTTGATCAAAAAGCTCGTTTCGAGGTAACAATTGGAACCTGCCCCGACAATGAGAGGCGGTGGACTTGTCATTCCCGTCATCGGCGGCATCGCCGCGCTGTCGCATGGCGTGGCAGCCGCGTACGTCTGGCCTTCAAAGTACGACGAGATTGAAGACATTCTCTCGTTGCAGACGGGATACCGCAGCAGGGGCTTCGTCGAAGGTTCGTTATCTACGCCAAGGCCCCCTCTTGTTCCCCCCGTAATACACTCTCTACTCTATCTAACACAAACACACACTCTCCAGGCGTGACCCCATGCTCCTTTGGCGGCAACATCGCCGGCCGCCAGTTCGCCGCCGAGTGGATCCGCACCGCCTTCCACGACGTCGCCACCACCGACGCCGCCGCGGGAACGGGCGGCCTAGACGGCTCCATCTGGTTCGAGGTCGGCCGCGCCGAGAACGGCGGCGTGGCCTTTAACAACACCTTCAACTTCTTCAGCAACCTCTACTCGATCCGCGCCACCGCGGCCGACCTGCTCGCCATGAGCGTCGTCGTCGCCAACGCGGGCTGCGGCGGTGCGAGGATGCCCTTCCGCGCGGGCCGGGTGGATGCTACGGTGGCGGGCCCCGCGGGCGTGCCGGAGCCGCAGACGCCGATCAACACGACGCTGGCGACGTTTGCGAAAGCCGGGTTTAGCCAGGGAGAGATGATTTCGCTCGTGGCGTGCGGGCATACCCTCGGCGGCGTGCATAGCCGGAATAACCCGCACATCACGGGTCTCGATCCGAGCCCGGACACGGTGACCAAGTTTGATAGTACGTTTGACGACTTTGATAACCGGATCGCGACTGAGTACATCCGGGGGAATACGTCGAATCCGTTGGTGGTAGGGCGGAACGAGACGCTCAACTCGGACAAGCACATCTTCTCGTCGGACGGGAACAAGACGATCAGGGATCTGGGGTGTACCAAGAACGGGTTCAGGACGGCGTGCGCCGACGTCTTTACGCGCATGATTGATACCGTGCCGTCGACGGTGCAGTTGACGGAGCCCGTCGAGCCCGTCGATATCAAGCCCTACGTCACGCTGGCCCTGAGCGGCAACGGGAACCTTGCGTTCAGCGGCTGGGTGCGCGTGAGAACGACGGAGGGGACGGGGCGGGACACGGGCGATTTGGTCGTCCAACTGAGCTTTGCAGACCGAGGAGGCGAGGGTTCCGCCGTTGTCTCCGCGACGCTCGACGATGGGGGCGTCACGTACGGCCTCTGGGGCGAGACGTTCGCCTGGTACCAGTTCGAGACGGCCATCAGCGCAGCGAGCGGTATAAGCAGCTTCCTCGTCCACCTGAAGACGCCCTCGAGCAACGCCACATCCGTGTATAAGAACAGCGGCAGCGGATTCCCGCTAGACGACGCGCTAGTCTACCAGGAAGCCTTCTCGTGCGTCAACCGGACGAGCGTGAATAATGAGCGCACCTTCACCGTGACTGCTGCGGTGCTCCAGGAGCGCGCGGCGGATCCCGTGACGATGGACGTTGTGCGTCTCGTGCGGCGTTCCGAGGCGATTCACAGGAGGCTCGACGTCGAGAGCGTCGAGCTCGTGGCGACGGGCGACGAGGAGAGTGGGTATGCACTCTTCCAGGCGCAGGTGCAGCTTGCGACGAGCGGCTGGAGCACGAGCTTTGATCTTGTTTTGGGAGGAGAGAAGGAGGTTCGGGTTGATTTTCTGAAGACGCAAGCTTGTCCGCGTGTATGATGTTTAGCTGACCCTCGTGTATGTAATTCCATATTCATGATTGTTTTGAAATACCACGCCGCAGCTCAGAGTGATGAAAGACTCATTTCCTGGTGATACCTAAGTTGATGATCGAGGTAGATACTGTTTGAACTTCTCGCGTCCGTTGCCGCAAGTTTGAATTCGAAAACAGCTCAGTAACATGTCCGAAGGCGTCTTCTGAAGCTGTGTTATCCCGGATCACCAACGTCTGCTTCCAAGGCCCTGTGCTGTCCTCGAAGGAGCCACATGGTGGGAATAGGGATACAAAGGCAAGTGAATCGCAAGACTGAGGCTGCTGAGCATATGGTGCCATGATGTGACGAGAATTTGTGCGTCGTCTTGGTACTGCTCAGGTGCGGCATTCCATCAATAGTAGCAGAGGGGACGCTTTGTAGAAGCTGTCGCGAAAAGTAAAGAGAGAAAGTGAGTAGTGTCTGAGCATTGCGATGAGAGGCACTGTCTCTCCAAAGCATAGCCTTGTAACCGGCATCGTCATCATCCATATTGTGCGATCATTCACGAGCACTCTTGCTACTATTTCTCTTAGAATTAGAGCAAAAGCTGCTCCGTTTGTCGTTGCTCAAGCGAAGGCCACTTGTCTAGCTTGGATAGTTATGTCAAGTCGCACGATATGCTTGTGTTTGATCCTCGCATTTCTCAGAAGTCCCTTGCCGCGGGGAGAGTGTGAGCTGTGACGCAGGGGAAGACTCCCTGGTGCCTTTTGCCGATTGTCCATGAGCAAACCGCATGATGAGACGGCAAAACTTGCCGTTCTCACAGCCAACCAGGATGATCACATCGAGAAGTAGGGGACGCTGTTATCAATCGAGCCACAGCGTTGGGATAGCTGCATCGATAGGCGAGCTGTTCCTCCTGTTTGATCCGGATGTTTTGGAAGCAGACGCACTCAATCCGTGACAGGGGTCGAGCAGTCGACGGTCGGCTCCGGTCTACAGGCAGGCCGTTTGCGCGGGGCCTCGCCGATCAGAACGAGGAGAGCCAGGGTAAGGCAGGGTAAGGAGCCAATGGGCCAGGCAGTCTAGTCAAAAAGCCCTCAACGTGCCGTCTTGGACCTGAGGGAAAAAGAAGATGCCGCTAGTGACTAATACTTTCCAGAAAGAAACCTGGGGACGACCAGGTTGGCGGTACCCTCGGGGTCTGCTGTTCATGGCATTGGTGAGTGGGGTCAGATCGGAAAATCTGGAGAGCAGCCGCGTGGTGTTGTGTTAAGGCCGACTGGGTTGGTCGATAATTGGGCATCAGGATGAGGCACACTGAATGCGGCAGTTGGAAGAGCAAGTGTCATAGGCCCCAGCCACGCCATACCATGCCATTGCCATACGAGGGCGTAGCTGTGCCGCACATGCTATGCGAAGGAAAGGTATCGTAGGCATGACGTCTCGCAGGATTCTGCCGTGGTGTTGTGAAGACAGACACAGCGGTGTGGGAGCTGGGCCCCGGGGTTCTGCTTAGACGTTGTTGGAAGGAATTTGAAAAGTAGGGGGCCTCTGGAAGTTGCGGAAAGCCGGTGTCAGAAGTTGGAAAAAGAAACGAATAGGGCTCCGTCAGGGACAGTGACATTGACATGTCAGATGCTGCGTTGCTACCAACACTATCCATAGACTGAGGTGGGTGTATCCGTTTGGACCTCGTTATGTCAGAGATGAGCATTGGCGTAACATGGGGAAGGGGCCGACGGGAGTAGACAATGCCATGCCCGGCATCGGGGGTTCCCACGTTTCCAACCTCCGTTACTTTGTACCCGCCGGCGGAGCTAATCCCGGAGTAGGATGGTTCAATGGAAGGTTGGAACGTTTCCCAGCGTCGAGAGGATGACAGATGCCGTCATGTCAGGTCTGGCAATGATGTGTGCGCAATCTGTAGTAACATGCTCGTGATGGTGTCGTTCATGTACTGCTTAGCTTAAGGGATTCAGAGGTTGCAACTCTATCGAAAGAACCCACTAGGGCGCCGAGGGTTCAAGCTGCCAAGGTGCATTAGTACGGAGTACATAGGCGGACCTCAGAGGGGTCAAGCAAGACTGAAGACTCCATCGGAAAGAGAGGGGACGGTAGGCCGGATGAGGTTGGATGATTTGTGAGCAGCAATATTCCTATCCATAGGTATCCGTACCTAGACTGAGGCAGAAAGAGAGGGTCGAAGTTGGATTGAGAGGTTGGATTGGAAAGAGAGGTTCAAGTGAGGATGCTAATTCCTGGATAGGTAGTAGGGCGGGTGTTGCTGGAAACGAGGCTAAAGTTAAAAAGTGGCCTCATAAACGGTCGTGGCTTCCTCCCCTGGTGTGAACGCAGTCATCCGTCGAACGCACCTGCCACGTTCTGGAGCACACCAAAACGGGACTAGCGCCCAACCAGCTGGACCCTGCTGTCCCTTTCGGAGGGGGTCAACCAATGGGAAGAGGCTGAATGTATGGCAGGCATGGGTAAATAATCCGTGGTGGTCTGATTCTCACTCGATTCCTGCCGCTCTCCAAAAGCTCATCATGCCACTTTCTGAAATCGTTTGAAGCATCTGCGAAGCAATCTCCAATTCTGTCGAACCACCCAGCTATCAGACTGCAGGGCCCCCTCTTTTTTTTTCTTGCACGCTCTCTCGGCTTTGTAGGACTCGTCGGTGTCGGTTTTTTCCTCTCTTTCTTTCTTCCCTTCTTTCCCTTCTCTGGTCTTCTCACCGTCTTGTCTGCCCTCTCTGAGCCTACGCTCTCACCATCCCCCCCACCAGTGTGCGCTTGTTCTGTCTGCTGCTGCAGCCCTGGTCTAGCAACATCCGTCATTGGTCTTGCTGCTAGTTCGCTGCAACTTGCAACCCACCTCACCACACACCCACTATTCTGGTCCTTGGTCTCTGATCCGCCCTGGTCTGGCTGCATACTCAGCGACCCTGCCGTATCTCATATTATTATTATTATATCTCGAATACCACCTCCGGGGACCCAACAATTTTTCCAACATCGCACACAAGACAAAGACCCCTCGGTCCACGAGACACCACACTACACCTTTTGACGGCTGGAGCCCGTACGAATATATCCCGTTTCCCTCCTCGCTTCGCTTCGAGCTCCACGTCTACTTCAGTCTGTGCCCTTGTGCGCCAGTGTGGTGTATCTCAAGCCCGCGCATTACATCCTTGACCCCACGTCAGAAAGTCTTCAACCGCAAGCCGTGCGAGCGCGGCCAGTCCAAATCTACCTCCACAACAGCCACCGTTCGATCCCTTCGGCAATTGGTCTTTTCTACCATAGCTAGCTAGTCACTTACTTTGCAAACCATCCAGCATCACGTACCGACGACGAATTACCTCGATCCGGTTGTCCTGTGACACTGTGACATCACAATACGCCCTCGATCATGGCACCTGGTGTACTTAACTCGGACGGCTCAATGGACGACCAAAACGGACAGACTGCTGCCCCCCCGAACGGGCTGGCCGGCACCGCTGCTGGTCGTCTTCATGCTATCGATCCCACCGTAGACACCCTCACCCTCCTGCGCAGCTTGCCTGAGCCTCCCATAGAGGCCCAGGTGTGTGTAGTTGGTGCTGGCCCCGCCGGTCTGATGCTGGCTGCCAACCTTGGCCGTTTTGGAATCAAGGTTGAGCTCATTGATGATAGAGCTGACCAGACGCCTGTTGGAAGGTAAACGATCCGTATACACCTACCTTTATTGCCTTTGTACGCTAATACCCGAGATAGAGCAGACGGACTGCAGCCCAAGACGATCGAGACCTTCCGTCAAATGCGCCTCGCTGACCCTTTGCTCCTCCGCGGTGTTCGTGTTTACGATATTTCCTTCTGGCGAAGCACTGCCGACGAGCCGCTGCATAGATTGGGCCGCGAGGTTCACTACCCTCCCGTCATTGACGTCCTCGACCCCTATATTTTGCTCGTTCACCAGGGTATGGTTGAAGGACTCTTCATCGATGACTTGAAGAAGCGCGGGGTTGAGGTACGGAGGAATACGGCATTCGAGTCCTACAGCGTTCCGGAGAACAAGGCGGGGCCCCTACAAGTCAATTGTCGCACGAACGTGACCCAAGACCGGCGGACAATTCTTACACAGTACTTGGTTGGATGTGAGTGAACTACATCAAAACGCTGCGCTGTGGGAGGCATATACTAACCGGGAGAAGGTGACGGTGCCCACTCCAAAGTACGAAAAAGCATTCCTGATGCGCGGGCTATTGGTCTTTCGCAACCAGCAATCTGGGGTGTTCTCGATGGCGAGCTCATTACCGATTTCCCCGATATTTGGTCCAAGACGCTAGTGTATTCCCAGGAATACGGTTCTATTCTGATTATCCCGAGAGAGAGGAATATGACCCGTTTCTACATTGAGCTTAAGGCGAACCCCAAGGCAGATAAGCGAGAGCTTGGCCAGGAGTTCGTCATGGCTCGAGCGAAGAAGATCATGGCGCCTTTCGAGGTCGACTGGAAGTACATTGAGTGGTTCGGACGTTACCAGATTGGTCAGAGAGTGGCCAGTCGGTTCACCGACCCCCATCTGAGGGCGTTCCTCGCTGGAGACGCCAGTCACACGCACTCCCCAAAGTCTGCTCAGGGCATGAACACCTCTATGCACGACTCGTGGAACATTGCGTGGAAGCTCAACTTGACTATTCGAGGACTCGCGAAGCAATGCCTGCTCGAGAGCTACGAAGAAGAGCGAAGAAAAATCGCTGTTGACCTGGTCAACTTCGACTACGAGCACGCTAATCAGATTGCTGGAGGTGACGCGGTAGCACTGTCAGAAAACTTCAAGACGAACGTCCGTTTCATTTCTGGTATTGGTGCCGAGTACTCTGAGAGCCCCCTGAACAGGCCCGACCCTCAAGGCCTTATTATGGGAGATGCCCGACCTGGCTGCTTGCTTCCTCCGGCCAAGGTCACCAGATACATCGACTCAAATCCTGTTGATATTCAGCTCGATATCCCCATGCTCGGACAGTTCCGCATCTACCTCTTGATGTGGGACATCCAGGCGTCGAGCCCTTTCCTGGAGACTTTCTGCCAATCCATCGCCTCGGCCAACTCTTTCATCAGCAAGCTCTCGGCCTCAGCTAGTGCTTCTTACGCTGCGCAGCCCAGACTGCCATCGTCTGAAGACATCTACTACCGGCCCGAGAGATACACGGCCGTCAGCCATCTGTTCACATTTGCCTTGATTAGTGAGTATCAATCGCCCGAAGTTCTACGCAATCACTAACACTAGCCCTAGCTACGATGCCCAAGGATGATGTAGAGATTTCGGACCTGCCGGCCCTCCTACAGGACAGCCGCTGGACGTTCTACCTGGACGACATTCCAGAACAGGACACGCGTGGCCAGCTCTGTACCAACAAGTGGCTTGGTAGCCTCGGCCCCGGCGAGGTTTCCATTGTTAACGTAAGACCTGACGGCTATGTTGGTTCCGTCGGCCGATGGGATTCGAGCATGGATGACGCCGGCGAGGAGGCTGCCCGCTGGCTAGACGAATACTACGGCGGTTTCCTCCAACTGCCCGGCGGCGCATCGCCTTCCGCCACCCCCACCCCAATGGCAGTTTAGACGCAGATTTTCTTAATTTTGAGTCCGACTCAGGAACATTCACTCGGGCGTATTTGTACCATACAAATCCCACTTCACACGACAAACGCGAACACATAATCCACAACCTGAAAGACATCAGGCATGCAAGCAAAGACGCAGACATGAAATCATCACTTTCTCTCTTCCAACTTATCCGGCAGGTGTTGGGGAGTGTGGCGGCGGTACGGTTGTTATCACGGCATTTTCAGGAGCTTAAGGGGACGGTCAGTAAGTACACTCTGTTGCAAAGCAGAGGTACTTGGATCTCAATTTTGTTTATTTCCACTATAGCTGAGCCTTTTTGGGATGAGATTTACCACATGAGGCAGACATATGTCAACATATGGGATTTTCGTTGCAGATCTTCTGCTTTGGGTCACGCCCCTAGTCAAATTAAGCTCCACGAGCCCACGCATGTGGTGGGCTAGGAGCAATGATCGTGAGAACATGACACCATGTCTGGGAGGATTCATGCGAGCTGTCATCTCCCATTTCCCCATGCACCCACCCTGTCAGCTCTCTGTCGTCTCTTGTCAACCCTCAGCGCCCAAGGATCTCACTCCTCCGAAGGAACCGGCCGGTCTGCCGCTGCCCTGCCCGTGGCCTGCATGCTCCATTGGTGATTGCACTTGCATTGATTCTGAGACTGGAGACTGGGCGTATGGGAAGCTTTGTAACCCCATCACATCAGACGATAACCTCACGCCAGCCCTATCAGAATCGAATCATGCTCACGTCTGGAAAACTCCGCAGTATCCATTCCTTATGGATTGACCGACGGCCGTGCCATGTTGGATGCTGATCGGTGAACAGTGACGGTTCCCACTTCTATAGCCTGCGCCGTACGGATGCAAATTGCTCTTCCCGAGCGTCTTGCAGTTGTTCCACGTGTTGTCGTCCGGCTGGACCTCGGCTTAGGCTTTGGACTTCCCCGCTGCCTGGATGCCTGCTTCCACGAGTTTGTTTACACCTTGCGGGATTGCTTTTTGTCTGTTCGGTTCTGAGGCCGCGGGCTTGGAAGGAGTGGGGAACTCTGATGTATGTGGATGGGAGGTTCGGTGCGTGATGGGAGGGACTTGGGTCAGCGTGCTTGTCCGGGACAGTGGAACGATCTGTGCCGACGACCGTGGTCCGGCTGACTCCACTCTCGGCGTGTCGGCTCCGGTGGGATGGTGACGGAACCCCGTTGTGCCGGTTTACGGGTGGTGTCGGCCGCTGGAGGAGTCTCGGGGGTTAGGGATCGGGTGGTATTCGGGGGTTCCGACTACACTATTTGTGTGGTTTGTGCACGATGTGCTTTTGCCCTTTGACGTGAAGGTCTCGCATGGCATGTAGCCTTTTCGGCCTGCGACATGTCTAGGATTTTCTGCCTTTGGGGTTTTAGTGGAGGTTGTGACGGAGCAGCAGAGGATCGTGCACCTCAAATTATTTGTTCCTGTTCCTAAATCGCTGGCAAGATGCCCTCATTAGGTACTCGACGAAAGATTCTGTCTTGCATATGGAGCATGGCTAATTACTCCCTGGAAAACGTTCGACTCGCTAGCTCAGGGACAGACGCAGCCAGACGTACATATAATCGAGACGAGAGGAAAGGAGAAGCCAAGCCAGTGTACGGGAAACTTTGGTCCGGCTAATGGTTCTCTACACCGTTTTGGCAGATCGCCCTACGGCCCGTGTAGGATGGATCGGCTTTGGTGACGCCGTCCACAGTGGGGATTCTTCGCCTTATGGGAGACTGGACACCGGGGGTTCCGGGGCTTCTTGAGCACACAAATCCTACAAGATGATGTAAATGCGAAAGTGGAAGAACTTTGGCGGGATCATCGTGGTCCGGAAGGAGGTGATTCTTTTACTTGGCGCAGAGGCTAACTACTGGGGAGGTTGAGCCGCAATGTTGCTTAGTTACTTTGACTAGACTATATTATACTTTGTCGACAGTCCCAGAAAAGTAGTAGCTAAAGGAATGAGACGATTCACAGTTTTGAAAGATCAATTGGTGTCCCAAACTCACCTTGGCCAATTGGCCGTTTAGCTGTACGAATTTGAGGAAGAACCAACCAGTACCTGAAAAGAGCCTCTTGGCAAGGACGCAATCAAATGAAATTGTAGAGATTGCCATGGTTGTAGAGTTGGATGAATACGGCGTGCAATTTAACTAGGTTCAACTCAAAGGCGTGGGCATCGTTACGGGAAATGCTCCTTTTGCGTACCTATCTTACCAAGACCAACCGCACGACGGTCGAGTTGATCAAGTATAAAACAAGCCATTGTAGCACATGAACTGTTTTACTCCAGCTCCATCTACCAACTCATTCTTCGCCTCAAGATTACTCGATTCTCTTACCTCGACTCTACCCTCGTAACCACGTACAACTACCTGCACACCTCATCGCCCATTATGTACTTACCAGCCTTCACCATTCTCCCTCTCCTCCTCTCTTCCGCCGCAGCGGCAGCCCTGGAAACTGCCGAGGTCCGACAAGCCCGTTCTCTCGACCAATCTTCGCCCAATAATGTCGGTAATGGTTTGTTGTCCAGGAGAGTCGAGTGTGACTGCTGTCGAGCTCTGGGGCCCGGGTATTGCTGGCATGAGGAGGCGAATGGGGATAAATATGTGAGTTTTCGTGGTTTTTTTTTGCGATTCTGCCCTTTTTTGCTGGAGATGAATATCGCTGATTAACGGGGGTTGGCAGTGCTCTGCTTGTATTGTTGATGTTTGTCAGAAGAGGTGTATGTGAGAGGTCCTGTTTATGAGGCAGGTTCATGAAAGGGGAAGAGGTGAGTCGTGAGGATGGCGTTGGGGACATTGAAATATTGAACCAATAGCCAAGCCATGACGATCTATACTAAATAATCGAAAAAAGAGTTCGCCCCCCCCCCCCCGGTGCTGAACTGGGGGCTACATCTCATGGTGCCCGTGCTAGGATTCGAACTCGGGACTCGTAAGCCTGTCGTCGAGTAGGCTGTGGGCGTAATTTGATTGTTGGCCCTAAACCACTCCACAACCCAGCCAGTTTGACCTGACCCGCCGACATAGGCGGGCGCTTGCTGGCTGGTGACGGGAATGGGCTTGAGGGGCGTTATATAGGCTTCTTTTCAGGCGTGTTCTGTGTATTCGGGTGGTGGATAAGGTATCGGATGAAGGCTTGTTTAGGTAGGCACAGTCGGTGCTCTCAGAGTCTTCCCCCGTGAGCAGAGATGGTTGACAAGAATGAGCCTATGAGAAGCAGAACGAGTGTTATCACGGCGTTGGTACAATAAGAGCATGCTAGTACGATCTAGTCATTGATACATGTCTACTCTTATACAGTTCTAGTCTCGTGCGGTGCGGACTTTCGTTACATCTATAATACAACATATAGCACACGATCCTCACGCATGGTCATCCTTGATGCCCCAGCTACCCACCAAAGCCATGGCTTTGTCGTCACCCTTGGCAAGGCGGTCGTCCTGGAGGGTATCTGCCAGACACTGCCACGGGTCCCGACTGCCTCCCCACTTCAAGAGGTTCTCCTTGAGCCGCTCGCCGTTCTCCCGGCTGAGCGCCTTGCCGTCGGCGCCGGCGGAGAAGACCACGCGCCAGACCCGCTCGGCGAGGACGCGATCAAAGACGTAGCTGTAGTAGGTGCTGCCGTACCCGTGCAGGTGGCCAAAGAAGCCCTGCCAGCAGGTTCCCGCGGGATCGGCGCCACCCTGGGAGAACTGCTTCTGCAGGCCGTGGTAGACCTGCGTGGAGTTGAAGGACGGGTCGGCGACCTCGGGCGCGTGGTAGGACTGGTCGAGCAGGGAGAGGAGGATCTGGTTCTCCGTGTCAATGCCCTCGAAGCGCTTCGCTAGGCGGATTCGCTCGGCGACCATCTGGTACGGCAGGGGCTCGTCCGTCTTCCAGTGGCGCGCGAAGAGACCTAGCACGGATGGATCTGCGGCGAAGTGCTCCATCAATGTGGACGGGAGCTCGGCGAAGTCGGTTGCACATCTCGTGCCGGACACGTTCTGGAGCTTGGTGCGAGCGAGGATGGAGTGGATGGCGTGGCCCATTTCGTGGAACAGGGTCTCGACCTGATAGTAGGACAGCAGCGCCGGGGCGGAGCTGCTCGCATCGTGCTTCGGGAAATCACAGACCAAGGCGATTGTGGGCAGCTGCATCAGGACGCCATCCTGTTGCAAGCTTTCCATGCCGTCGTTCGCGGCTTGCTCGGGTCTCTCAAACTTGGGCATGTCGGACGTGGCGTTGTGGAGGTCTTCCGCAGCCTCTTGGACTTCGTACGGAGCAATGGCTCGAGAACAGCGCACTGTGAAGTGAGCAGGGTTGGGCGACTTGTCCTCTCTGTAGAACAGGTCGCAGTACAGGACGGCAATCAGATCGCCCGTGTCCGTCACGACATCCAGCCGCCGCACATCTTCATGCCAAGTCTCGCCGGGCTGCGACTCCTTCGGCCTGAACTGGATGCCGTAGAGACGAGTGAACAGTCTCGACATGCCCTGCATGACGGTACCGATGGAGAAGAAAGAGGGGAGATGATCGGGATGACGGACTGGGAGCCTCATCTCGGACCGCACGCCGTCCATTAGGAAATCCTTGTCCCACGGTTGGACTTGGCTAGCGGTGCTGTCTAGTCGGGTCTGCTTCAACTTCAGGAGATCCGACATTTCCTCCCGAACAATAGGGGTATTATACTTTTGCAACGCGTGAAGGAACTGCATCACGGCGCCGGGAGACTTTGCCATCATTCTGTCTTTCAGGGAAAGGTGAGCGTAGCTCGAGAACCCCGCCAGATTCGCCAGCTCAGAGCGGAGCTTGAGCATCGTCTCGAGCAGACCGACTGTCTGCTTCGACGCGGTGCGCATGGCGGTGTATACCTCCTTCCGCGTCCCCTCGTCCTTGACGCTCCGGAGCGCGGCCTGAGCTTCAGGGCCGGTGGTGGGGAGGCGTAACTTGCCCCTCATCGTGAGCGCTCGCGCGATCCCGGGGTATAAGCCGTAGAAGCTCGATGAAGGCAGCACAACTTCACGCTTCGCAGGCTGCATGTCTGAGACGAACATGGATCCGACCTCACTTATCTGCTGCGAGAGGTCGACAAAGCGGTCCCGCTCCTGCTGCGGCAAGTCGACAGCCGACTTGGTGAAGTCTAGTTTGAGAATCTCTGCGACTGTCCTCTCTTCCTCTGACCATGCCGCGACCACTTCTGGCTGCTCCATAGCCCTGACCAATTGGTCACTCAGTCCGGTCATGGTGTTCAACTGGTTCATATACTGATAGACCAGCGACCAAGCTCCGGCTGCTGCTTGTTGGAATCTGGGGTCTGGGTGTGTCATTCTGACAAAGTCGGAGAGGTCGAGGACTCGGCAGAGAAGGTCGCTAAGGCGGTCAAGGTCCTTGACAACGGCCTGGTATTCTGACACGCTCGACGCATGAAGTACTCGATGGACAATCTTCTGCGCCTTGTCCAAGCTCTTGCGGGCAAATACGTAGAAGCCATTCGGGCTGGTGAGATACCGGTTCTTGAAGAGGCCAACACTGGGGCCAGCCGCCTTGAAGGCCTTGGACACTCGGTCGGGGGAGTCGAAAAGCTCGCGCAGGATCGCATCGTCGGTGTTCCTTCCCGGGAGTGAGTGGTCGGCCGTGATGCTCGAGGGAGCGGCGCCGGACACTGCGGCTATCCACCGGCGCTGCTGGCCTCGGGAAGCTTGCCGAACGCATTGGGTGCAGACCCAGAGGCCGCGGCTTGAAGATTTGATCATTTTGAAAGATTTGTCGACGGTGCGACCATAACTACAAGTCGGGACGAAGATTCTAGTAAAACATGTAGCAAGAAAAAAGGAGGGTGATTGTAAGTGCAACCAAGGGCCGTGACCATGGGAAATGCGTAGGGAGAATTAATGGGAATGAGATAAAGCAGTTACCAATCGATAGGCCGTAGCCGGGATGGCATCCGGACTGACGGCGGTAGCATTTTTTTGTGCAAGGGTGTGCAGTGCTGCCAGTCATTGCCAGGCCAGTGCATAATCGAATTCCCGAGCTCCGGAAATAGCCGCACCAGCATCCAGTGGGCCTGGTGTTAGGTGCTTGCAAGCACAAGCATCATTCCGTGACATCCAAATAATTCTCGCGAGACCAAGACCCAATTCCCTCAATCGACCAATTGAGCGGACCATGGCTGCTAGAGTGTTGCTACAGCGGGTAATTCTCTCTTGCCAATCCACCATCAATCGAAGCAACAACTAATATGAGATCTATAGCGCGCCGCGCCGTTAGCAGCGACGGTTATGCTGGGAGGATTCGCCCTGGCACCCCGAACTGCCTACGCTGAAGCTCCCGAGAGCAGCCACGTACGTCTGCAGTCGACTCGCGGCCCCGAGAATGTAGCGTAGCTGATGATGAAGCAGTCCAAGAAGCCCATCTACGACGACCTGGAGCTCCCCGCGACGAGCGGCACTCTCCCTCCTCCGATCCCCCGGGCCGAGCAGCCTCCCCAGGCCGAAGAACCCAAGTCGCGAGGACCTACTCCTACCGACCGTCTCGCCGTCCAGATCGGCAAGGCGCGTCTCGCCCTCTACCAGTACGCCGTCGGTGCCGAGGACGCCGTCAACCGGACGATGGACAAGGCCTTCAACCTCGAGCAGTCCTTCACGGGCACGATCGCATCCCTCGCCCCGCCCCGCGAGAGCGGCGAGAAGCTGATGCCCGGCGCCATCTACGTCCTCGTCGCCGCCATGGCCGGAAGCATCGTCACCCGCAACCGCAGCATCGTCCTGCGCGCCACGGCGCCCCTGGCCTTCGGAATCACCGCCGGCTGGACCGTCCTGCCCATCACCATGGGCAACGTCTCCAACCTCACCTGGAAGTACGAGCAGCGTTTCCCCGTTATTGCGCAGGGCCACCTCAAGCTTCGCGAGAGCATTGAGAATAGCTTGAGGATGGCGAGGCTCCACAGCGAGATTGGTGTAAGATATGTTGATGAGAAGGTCACGGATGCCCGGGAAACCGTCGAGGACTGGGTGAAGAAGGGCAAATAAAGGAAGCGCGGAACTGTAACATAGAAGCGACCAGAGTCGCTACCATCGGTTCCTTTTGTAATTGACACATTTCATCACCTTGACGCATGTCTTATGAGCTAAACAAATCATGGTGAATGGGCATTCGTTTTATATGTGTATAAAAAAAGTCGTATTTGGGTTCTATATCCCTCAATCCCATTATTCTGCCCTACCCTTGAAGGACCTAGGGCCTCGCTATGCTTTTTTACCAATGGAAACAAACTCCTATCTATGCAAATCAACCCGCTTCGAAAGTCCTCTGTGTTGTGTCTCAAGTTTGCAAGGCAGCAGGAGACGGCTGCGTTGGCTGTGTTTCCTTGGGCGCGCCAACACCCCTTTGAGACTTGTTTCGAAGAGCCTGCGTAGCCCTGCTCTCGCCCATCTTGCCACCAGCCGCCATGGCGGTTGGATTGGGTTTCTTTCCGCCCTTCCCAGGGCTCTTTTCCGGGTCGACGCCCTTGTTGAGGTCAGTCTGCTGGGCAAGCTCGATGAGATCCTCGAGCCCGAGCGCGCGACAAATCTGAGTGTAGCTCTTGCACTGATTCATCTTCTGGTATGTTGCGCTCTTGCCAGGAACAATCTGACAAAGCAGATACTTTGTGTTGCCGTACTTGTTGTCGACCTCGAGCGCGTACTTGACGTACGTAGCCGCAACCTCCTCCCAGGACGCAACACCTCCGTCTGCTTCTGTCCTGAAGCAGCTCGAGTTCGCCTCAGCCGCAGTGGCAATCATCGCGCCGTCGACTCCAAAC